GGGGCATTTTTCATCATTGTTGCCGCGAACTGTTCGACCTCTGTGCCCGTAGTATATCACAGGATATCCGTGCAATTTGTTAGTCAGGCGGATCGTCGCGTCGCGAATCGAGCGAGAGGCCTCGCCACGGATGAACGGAACGTTTCTCGCGCTGGACAACAGGGAAATTCACTGTGCCACCGGGTACGGGTCGTTGGTAACGCGTTGGCAAATTAATTCAATCAATTAATAGGCGCTTAAGCGAGAGCGCGGCTCGCATCGGCGAATAAGCGGTGCCCATCGGAGCCACCCACGCGAAACGATGCCCTGTGGTTCGCACCTAGGTGCGAGCCGTGCAACCGCCGCGTACCTACGCCGCCGCCGCTTTCGAGAGCCAATCGATACCGGTGCCATCCTCACGCCACCGCCATTTTATTTCGCGGCAAGCCCTTTTTTACCCCTACCGCGGGACCACCGACGCCGCCGACACCCGCCGCCGATGCTCGTCCGCGCCAATTTTTAGACGAAAACGGAATCTAACGATCGCTTTCACCCTATCCCCTCCACCGTTTCATCCCCCTCCTTGCCTCCAACCGATACGTTTTTCCCTTTTTTCATACACCCCCTTGTCGATGGAACCGATTGCAAATGCCCAGAGAAAGACACCGTTAGCGAAGATGAGCATCTTTCAAACCATCTAAAACTCGAGAATTTTGGATGCATCGATAATTTCGACCCTCTGATCCTTCGACCTTCGATCCAGATGAAATTTACTAGTTTGCAACTATCGACATCAAACGTAAACGCGGTGTTACGACCAAGTTGTATTAAAAGATCGCGTTGCTGCACAGGCTTAAATAGGACGCGTAAACAACCGTAACCGTAATCGATAATGCAAGCCATACAAAATCAAACACCTCCAACCCTCCGGGTGTTTGCACAGTTGGTTGCACGGCGAGAAACACGAAACTTGGGAAATCGGAGGAACAGGATATTTCCAGAAACCAACGGGGGAAACTTTGAGATTCGCGGAGCTTGTTTGGAAGTTCAACAAATATTGTTACGAATCGTTTATCCGTGGTTATTTTGTACAAACGTGTAACGACGTGTACAACTCTCGTTGATACCGCTGTCTAAACGATAACTATGAGTTACTCGGGGTTGAAACTCGTGCTAAGCTGTAGCGTTGGGTGATGGAGCTGCCATAAAACCTGGAGCACCTATTGCGGGTTTGACGAACGATTGTAACGTACGCGATCGTTCCGCGACCAGTTGGAAAGATTCTACGAATGATTTCAGTCTGCGAGCGGAAGCATGGTAGGCGAAAGTATTTCTTTTTACGGGGACCACAGGCGCGACGATTCGTCATGCGATGAGTCCAACGACAAACATGGCTATCATCGAAATAAAATACAACTTATCGCTTGGTTACTCGACAAGCGAATTTCCACTCCGAATACTGCGGCCTCGAGGTTCAAATTATACACAGAGGCCTTCTGGACTTTTGAATCGTTACTTTCGACCCTGATCCACCGCCACCACGCAATCATCGTCAAAGAATTTAATTAATAACAATCGTACAAAGCGGTGGTATGGAAAATCATTGCGATTGTTATCTCGATTGCGGTCAAGTGCGCTGCTTTTCGTTACGTCCGTGGGAAGAACAACGTACGTAGCGTAATTATCGCTGCACCTCGTCGTGTCGACTCATCGCGTGATAAATTGTCGCCTCGGTGGACCCTGTTAAACAGAGCCACCGTTTCGAAACGCGTTTGATCCGTTTTTAAAGCCGCCTTCAGTTTGTCATTTTTGCTCGAAAATATCACGAAAGTTCTGGTAAAAATCTCAGGACAAACTCGACAGACTCTTCGAAGAGATCGCGTACGTTGCTCATTGTATTTTTAATCTACAGTAGCAGTGCTATACTTTGAAAAATAATTAAGTTTCCAAAGAGGGGGGTTGCAACGTTTCGTTCCGGCGATTAGGCTATTGCGAGGCGGAAAAGACCGAGGAAAAGCGCTCGAGCAGGCTTCAGGCGATACGCAAGGTGACGGGGTGGGGAGAGGGGGGGGGGGAGGGGGGTCAGTGTTCCACTGCAGGCAGCGCAATCTAAACGAGCGATCGGGATCGGATCGAGATCTGATAATCGAGTTGTTGGCACCTGTGGCAGCGGACATAATTAATGTTGGCTAGGTGCTACCGACTGCCCCCCCCCCCCACACACCCCACCCTCCCCGCGTTCGTCCTGCTCATTAATTCCCGGCGGGACATTACCGAGCAAATTAGGCGAGCCAGGTATCCTTCTCTCTCTCTCTCTCTCTCTCTCGTTTCCGCTTCGTCCTTTTTCCACGTCAGGTTTTTTCGTACCCTTTCGTCCCCGAAACGCGGAATCGAATGGCCAGGAAGTGGGCGGTTCTTCAGCCTCCGAGAGACCAGCAGAAGAAGAAGCTCCGTGGAACGCGGGGACCGATGAAAAACTCGCGATCGTCGTCGTCTGCTTTGCTCCACGCTTTTTCTACGGTTCTTTATACCCCCTCCACTCCTCGACGCGACGATAATTAGCGATTTAACGGCCCCGCTGTCCCGAGAGTTATTAGAAGTCAACGTCCTGGACACCTCCGAATCGAGACAAACTCGATTCTGTTTTCTTTTTAAACGAATTTCTGGATCTTTTGGACATCGACAAACTCGTATCAGGGTTGTTTCAACCCTTAAATCTATTTTTATTATCGAGAAAATCGATCGATACGCGACGCGTCTTTTCAAAATGGAAAACGCGCGGCGAGGACAGAATTCGGTTTGGTTCGTTGTCCCGTGGAAGGAAACCTGCCGTCGTGGAGGGTGAGCGACCGAGCAAAGCCGTTAATGTTTTGTGTATTCAAATAAAGAGCGTCGATGCGCGCGTTCGCACGCAACCGGCCTCGCCACTGCTCGACCACCGAGCTAATGGCTTTATAATGCCTTCGTTTTGCATTTAAACGCCACCGGTGCTCGCGTCCTATCCACGGACGCCTCTCCAGCGTCCCTCGTCATTCCTCTCCGGACGCGACTCGATTCCAAACGCGATCACGGAGGACTCGTTCCAGGAAGAGAAATTTACCACCAGCGACAATCTTACACCCTCCTTCCATCGAAGACCTTCCATGAACCCCCTTTTCAAAGCCTAAAGTGTCTTAAATATTTTCCCTTCAATGGACCACAGAATTTTCGAGATAAATTTGCAATGGGCCAAAATCGAAATCTTAGTCTCGCGGAATATTGTAGAATTTTGTTTGATTAATTAGAGGCGCCTAAAGTGTTTTAAATATTACTTTATTTTAATTAAAATTATATTTTCCCTTGAATGGACCACAGAATTTTCGAGATAAATTTGCAATGGGCCAAAATCCGAATCTTAGTCTCGTGGAACATTGTAGAATTTTGTTTGATTAGTTAGAAGCCACTAAAGTGTTTTAAATATTACTTCATTCTAATTAAAATTATATTTTTCCTTGAATGGACCAATTTTCGAGATAAATTTGCAATGGTCGCAGAATATCGCAGAATTTTGTTTGATTACTTAGAGGCACTTACCAAGGATTTGTTGAGTCGATACTTGGAAGAACCAGTCTTCTACTCCCGAAGAAGGCTGTGCAGTTTCTGGAATGAGAATTACTGGGTTAGGTTGATCCAGACCTAACCCAGGTTCCGTAGGAAGACGATATCCTTAGACCCCGCGGGACTTAGCTCGCGCAGTTCCCGTGGTCAGCCCCTTCTGGTTCGCGTTTCCATCGGACACACGCCGCTTCATCCCCTAATCGCGTGGTCGGCTCGAGGATCGCGTGATGACGCCCTTAAACGTTCCCGGGGTATCCTGTACTCGGTTAACCGAACAGAGCCGCCAACGTTTGCTTAAACGCGTTCACGCCAAGACGATAGATCCCCGCCAGACCCGCCAGCGGATCTGTCCCTTTTAAAAAATTCAATTTCCCTGCGAGTAAAAGTTTCGTTTTCTAGGCGCGGAGAGGTTGGACGCGTGTGTTGCGACGTTAGGGAACGGCGTTATTACCCGTGGAATCGATGCGGAAGGCGACACGCGCTCCGCGTGAAATTATTCTCATCGCGGGACGTAAAGTCGATACGTTGGAAACATTGTCTACGCGTTCGAAGAACCGTGGTGGCTTTCGCGAACGGTTCGTTTTCTTTGCAAAGTGGATCTGTTCGCCGGAAACGATTGGTCGTGAGTTCCGTGGATCTCGTAGGTGGAAAAAAAATGACGAGTGAAGGGGAATCGAGGCTGACACGAACAGCGAGTAGGCTCGGTACAAGAGTTTATTTGGGTTTATTTACAAGGGAGCAGCTTGCACAGCGATAGGTACGGCATCATCTTCGCAACACAAGCATCAACGATTACAACGTTCTACGCTAAAAACGCTAATCGCCCCGCGGCGACGATAATCGTCGATCAAGCTGTCGTGAAAAAGGCGCGAAGCTCGCGGTAATCGTTTTCAACAAACGCCCACGGAGACGGGAAAAATTTTACAAATTTCTTTTTTTTTATTCGACGAACGAACGACAAAAGAAAGAACACGGCGTGTATCTCGGACGAGAATTCCCCGGGTCCCGTCTCCGACAGTCCTGCCCCCTCGACGTCGAGCTTTTTAAGCCAGCGTTCGAGCAGCTCCGCGCGTTTTTCCACGTCGAGTACGGAGTCCGGAACATAAATAACGATAACGATAAGTCATGATACGGAAATATACAACTTATATTACACGAACGGAGCCGATGTTACCTAGGGCCTGTAAATCCATACCTATATATACCTATATACATTAGACGTCGCCATACAATGTATCGTTTAAGAATGCATATACGTGCGGTATTTAGTTACTCCGTTCCTGCGTTCAGGATCGACCTGTAATCTTCCGTACGGCGCGTCGTTTATTTTTTTTTATCGGTCGATTACCTTTTTCGCTGTCGAGCAAGGTAGAAAACCGTCCCGGTAGACGTATTATGATACAACGGCTCCGGGGAACCCCTCGTTTACCGTGCGTCTTTCGAGGTTTCCTCGAGCGAGTGGTCCCGAAATGTTCGAGAGGGTTCGTTCGGATCTCGCGGGGACGCGATGGCGACTACGAGGGCGAGAGGTCCTGCGCGTCTCTGCCGAGGCTGTCGGTGGGCGACGGTGTCGCCCTCCTGGCGGGCGACAGCGACGGTCCCACGGGGGTGGAGGACTTGGGGGTGGCCGGGGCCGTGTGATAAGGCGAGAACCGATGGTGAGCCAGGGCCAGAGCAGAGGGGTAGAGGGGTCTTGGCGCTGCTGGGCCCGTCGTCGTGGGATTCTGCGAGCTCGAGGCGGCCAACTGCTGTTGCTGTTGCTGCTGCTGCTGCTGGTGATGGGCAGCGGCGAACAGAGTGGGCCCGATGGACGAGGCCCACCACAAATGGCCCAATTGCTGCTGCTGTTGCTGTTGATGTTGTTGCTGCTGGTGACTGGTACCGGCGGGCGACGCGCCCGGGTACACCAAAGCTGGGCCCACGAGCTGCGCGTAGGGACTCACCGCCACCGCGGCCGCGGCCCGCAACAGCATCTGGGACCGCGCCGCCCAGAGCGCCTTCTCCTCCAGGCTGAGATTGCTCACCGCCCCCGCCTGCAGCTGATCCATCTCGAACGGAAGTCGATGGGGAAACCTCAGCGTCTGCTGTTCCGCCAACATCGACTCCATCGTCTCCCTGAAAGGGAAGCTGCTCTATTATGCACTTTGCCCCCAGACGGGCAGGACTGGGACACTGGACAGTAGCTCGAGGAGCATACAGGGTGTTCGGCCAATCCTGGGAAAAATTGTAACGGGAGATTCTAGAGGCCAAAATAGGACGAAAATCAAGAATACCAATTTATCGATGGAGGCTTCGTTAAAAATTTTTTTCTCGAAAATGCGTAGGAATTCGGAGGTATGTCCAATGACCAAAAATGATCGTAATCGACCCCCGCAAGCGAACATAATTTTTCCAGAACGATTTGAAATTTTTCTTTTTCGTCGAAAAATTTAGGCATCTTCTCGAATTTATTTCTTGAAAATGCGTAGGATTTCGGGGGTATGTCTAATGACCAAGAATGACTGTAATCGACCCCTGCAACTAAAAATATTTTTTCCAGGACGATTTGAAATCTTTTAATTTTGTCGAAATTTTCACACCTTCTCGAATTTTGTTCTGGAAAGTGGATAGGATTTCGGGGGTATGTCTATTGACCAAAAATGATTGTAATTGACCCCCGCAACATAAAATAATTTTTCCAGGGCGATTAGAAATCTTTTAATTTTGTCGAAAAATGTCACACCTTCTCGAATTTTTTTCTGGAAAGTGGATAGGATTTCGGGGGTATGTGTAATGACCAAAAATGATGGTAATCGATCCCCGCAACCGAAGATAATTTTTCCAGAACGATTTGAAATCTTTGAATTTAATTGTTAATAACTTTTCAACGAAGTCTCGATCAAGAAATTGATATTCTTAATTTTTATCTTATTTTGGTTTCCAGAATCTCCCGTTACAATTTTTCCCAGAAGTGGTCGAACCACCCTGTATACATAAGAACGGAGGATCGCTTGCGAGAAAGACGAGCGCGCGCGCGGCCCTCTGGCGGTCGGGACGCGAGGCAACCACGCGAGAACAATTTTAAAGATTTACCTCTCGAAGTCGGTGAGGCGCGAGGAGTCCCGGAAGCCCTTCGCGAACGGATTGCTGTCGATCTTGAGCTTGGTGATCTGTAACAGAAAGTGCACCGCGGCGATTCAGTGGCGACGCCCGCTGGAAAATCGGCCGATCGACCTTGGGGATTCGTCGAATATCCCCTGACCTCGTTTACGTCGCCGCGGTACCGGGCTTCTCTCGGAAATTACGTCACCAGATGGCAACGAAACGTTTCGAAACGGTTCGTTCCATCGATCCCGGGGAGTCAACGGCTCGTAAAATTAAAAGAAGGCGGGGAAACGATCGTGACGGAAGGGCAGTTCTTGTTTTCGATGCTTCGGAATCGTTCGTTGCACCGTCAGGACTCTCGGAGCCACTCTCCGTGTGTCGTGGATCCCGTATTAGGGGCCACGGACGATTTATTCCGAAACGGGTCATAAATTCACGGGGTTCGCGAGTTAATCGTAAAACGTGCAAGATCGAATCCTCGTACGAAAATCTATATGCATCGGGAGTATGCAGAACCGTCTCGTTTATAGCAAGGTTTGCACTACGATTCTTAATGGACGAGTACACCCGATTCCGCTAAGCTGTTTATACACAATGTTCGATAATTCCTTGCCCCGCTTAATGGGAGTTTAACGGGTCAATCTTATGGCAATTTCTCGCGTAATCGAATGAATTATTGAAAGAAGGTTCCATTAGATGTTGTACGTCGCGTGTGATTTATGCACGACAGTGTACCGTCCCATTTCAGCCGAGTGCTCGGACAGTTCTTGAACGATTTTCTAACAGATGGATAGGTCATGCGGCGCCTATTAGCTAACCTCCTCGCTTCCCATATAGAAGTTCGCTATTTATTTCTCCGACCACTTAAAATCAATATCGTCGAAACGCTTCGTCGAACGCCGCGCCTGTAATTTTCACGAAATAAAACAAAAAATTTGCGTGAAAATTTCAAAACGAGGACGAGAAAATATCGACGAGCAAAATGGTCTCGCGAGATTTCCTCGACTTCCGGGCGGCTCCCGGACACCGTCGCGGAAATCCGCCCTAAGTCGTCGGCCGCGATGGGCGTTTCGCGTTACCTAACAACGCGGGGGGCCACCCACGACGCCGACGGACGCACAGGTGGCCCCGGTCAAAGTCTACTGCCTGGAATTAGCCGGGGCGACAAGATCCTCTCCGTCGCTTCCGCAAACCCTCCGTGGAGCTGGTCCCCTACCTTCGGATGCCCTTTCGACGTACGTTCTGGACGAACGGACACGCCAAGACGAACGGCCCTCGCGTTTGATCGCGGAAAGATTGCGGAACGCAATAGCCCGTTGACGTTCGCGAGCGAGTCAAAGCCGTCCCCGTCGGGTTCCCGAGGACGTTCGATAAATCATGATACGAATCAATTTAACCAACCACGCCAGAAACACACATATCCACGGCCATGCATCGAAAATGTATTAGAAAACACGAACCTCGTAGCTCGTCGACGGATTTCTTCGATTTCAATTACCTCTGTCGCAATTATCACACGGGCAACGCCTCTTTTCAACAAATTTATAGAACAGACAAGTTTGAAACATCGTGTTGTAGTTTTTGGTTTGTTATAAGTAGACTGAAGATGTTTATGCATTTATGGGGAAATTTTAATCCTCAAAAAATTTAATATGCAAAAATATAAGAAATACTTAAAGTAAGATAAGAATTATTATATTTAGGGGTTGAGACAGCCCTCTGCGAAGCTTCCGTTTCATTAATTCTATTAATAAAAATGTGAATTTGCATAAAGATCCGCAGTCTAGTTATGAGTAAATATATTTAACACAGTTTCCACAAAGAGTCGCTGTTCTGTTTACAACTCGGCCGACGAGACGAAAGTGGGCGAGGAAGAGTCCAGAGCGTCACGTGACACATTACATAGAGTTTATATGCATTACTGAGATGTCACGATTAGTATGATTTACAACACATCGAAATAGCATCAGGAAACGTTGAAGGGTAATTAAACCGGGTAAACTCAAGTTACTTATTTAATTATTTCCGTGGCTGTTCCACAAACCTGCGAAGTTTCACGAGAATCGGGAGGGGGTAAATTTCGCCGGTGTGCTTCTCGTCAGATTCGAGCTCCCGTCGAGCTACAAGCTTCGCGAAACGGCTACAGAGATACATTGTCCAAATATTGAATCGAAAAATTCTATGAAATATTTCGAAGCGTTCCTCCGGGGGTCGTTGAGTGCTCTGCGTCGATCTCGATCGCGGTCGTAGTTTGTTCGCTCGGTAAAAGGAGAGCCGCTGGTCTCGAAGGTCCAGAAGGGAATGGAAAGTCGGGGATGGAGAGGTTGTAAGAGGAAAAAGAGGGACGACAGAGTCGGTGTCAAGTGGGTGGTCCAATTACCCTACGGTTTCGCGCTCACGAGCAGCACGTGCAGCCTGGTAATAAGACTCTTTCCTTCAAAGCCGGGGCTAAGCCGCGCTAAGCCCGGAGCTGCCTCGGTTTTAGTTACGATTCCGCTGACATCATTAGCCAAACATCTGGCCCACCTCCGCCGTCAGCGTCCTCCTCGTCGTCTAGCTACTTCCACGTCGTTCCGTTACGCTCCGTTCCTATCCGCTCCTTTCCGACCACCGCCGCGCGTTTCCCTTCGTCAAACCCTCCCCCCACTGCCCTTTCCGCCCGCGATCCTCCGTCGTTTTACGATCGTTGCTCGCTACCGAGCGCGCGCTAATATCGCGGCCGCGTCTTTGAAATCGACCCGCGACCGCCGCACTCCCGCGAAACTTCCTCTTTGATATCGTGACGCTTGTTTTAACCACCCGCACACCCCCTGCTGCCTCGAACGTTTACGTATCTATCGTCGACCGTCGGGGCGACGAGCGTCGATTAATTTAGGAACTCCACGCGTCCGCTATCTTCTTCTCTTCGCTGCCACGCGACACCAGATTCTTTCACCCGACTCATCTACAGGAAAAGAGCTTCAACGAGAAATTCTAAAGGTTTGCTAGCATTTGGCAACCCACCACTTAGGTTTTTGCATCGAGAATCTAATTAGCCCCTCGACATTCCTCGTATCGTCGAGGTAAATAGCGGGTGAGCAACCTTTGTTCCCAAGTCTACAAGTACCGTGCTGTCGGATGACCAACACCACTCCCGTCACCTTGCAAACATTACTTGTCCAAAACATCCTAGTCCAGATTTCTAATCCTTACTCATCCTGAACCATCCCTTGACCATCGTCCCTACCTCTACCCATCTCTACCAATAACATATAAACGCCTGCAATACCGAAAAACGGACAGAAAGAGTCTGGTCTTCTATTCTTAAATAAAGTGTTGGAATCTGGAAGAGAGGAATGCGGGTCCGATTGGTTCCCAATAACGATGCAAGACACTCGTAGTCCTCTTTTTAATCTATAATTTAAGAACAACCGAGAATTGGTAGTTTAAGGGAACCGAGACGTTCGTTTACCAAGAGACTAGATCGTCGGTGGGAGGAGGCGAGAGCAGAAACGGCGACGAAGTTATACGATTTCGCTGACACGGTACGACCAAACGGTTGGACCACTTCCCAGACCGATTTACAGCGTCCAACGGTGGACACGCCGCTACCGGGCGTGATAAATTTCAGTCGCGCGCGTCGCTCTGTTCCGCTCCTCTGTAGGCCGATGCCAAACCATCGTCGTTGCGAATAAATCGCCCCGGCCACCGCCGCGTCCCGCCAGATATTTTACTCTATATCGGGCCCCGGGAACCGCGAAAAAAATGCCGGAGATTTTTCGTCGTTCGCTAACACCGGAGAGGGCAACGAACCTCGCGTTCTGGAACGGGTTCGCGAAAGGGGTGGCGCGGAACCGGTGCCCGGAGAAAAGGACTTTTTTCGAGCCAGTCACGCGATATCTGGAAGCGTGAAATTCGTACGATTGCACGGGGGCCAACGAAAGCACACGCGGCACCGTTCCGTTTTCGGGGCACAAAGTAATTTTCTGCGAAAGGGAACAATGGCGCGATCTGGACGGCCCCCGGGCCCTAAGGACAGATAGCGTTCGTCGATCGAGGGACAGGTAGCCAATTACCGTCCAGCTGCGGAGCGTCGATGAAAATTGAGAGAGAATTTGCGAACGCGGTGGGCGGAGTTCCCTCTCGAGGCTGATCGGGTTCCCCCGGGGGCACCGGGGAATTGCAATTGCGCTCGCAAACCGCGAACCAGGAAACGCAAGAAGCGGTCGACAACCGTTGGGACCCCCACGCTTATCGATTAAGTGGCTATCGGTCGATAAAACAGTAACGCGGCTTGTTGGTAATACTCCTTTTGTATAATCAGAGTTTATTCATGATCGTTGAACACTCAACTATGAAGAATTTCCAATGGAAGTGGACTCTAGACAAGGCGTTAACACCCGCAGACTTCTTGTGCGACTCTAAGGCCCCTGGGCCTGCGGTCACGGGGGTACATATGTCTTAACGATAGTACGGGAGGAGGACCCTTAGACTTAGCGACTAACGAGCCTTGTGACTCACATCGATGACGTGTCGATGTTTGGCCTATTGGTCATCCAACACGTCCAAGTGTCCATCAATCGACTAGCGGTCGGTAAAGTGTCTTTGATGCTCGACAGTTTCGAGCAGCTCTATCGCCAAATATAAACGGGGTCGAGTCAACTGAAGCAGATTGATCGGTCGCGTCGAAAAAAGTGGCGACATTCCCGGTTATCCCGTTCCCTCCGCGTTAGGCTCGTCGAGCAAAATGAAGCCGTAGGTAATTGAAAGGGATGCTTTCGCACCCGGGCCGCCACTAATAATAGATTTAATAGAGACGCGCGCGCTCATCGAAGAAGGGGTCCCGAAGAAGCGCTCGCCTCGCCTCGCGGGATCATCGCGCGCCGCTATTTAGTGCCGCTTGCGCGCTTCCTGTCACGCTCGCTCGCCCGTCCACCCCTCGATCTTTTTCCCAGAGACGCACGGTCTACCGAAACCGGGGAAACCCCGCGGAAATCTGTCGGAAATCGTGTCGAACCTCGCAAAAGTGGCGAGACGACGTTTGGTCGTCGAAGGAAGTCGCGAAGCATGGCGCGCGTGTAGCAGA